GAAGATGTGTTTTTTTAATAAAATGAAGTACTACTCAGCCATAAAGAATGAGAAACTAGAGACATTTATAGCTAAGTGGATATACATTGAGGCCATACTCTTAAGTGAAATAAATAGGACACACATGTGTGAATACCAAATAGTTTCTCTGGTGTGAGAAACTGAAAGTGTAAATGAGGACCAAAATGTATAACAGATAATGTGAAATAGGAAGAAAAGCTCCAAAGGGGAAGGGGAAGTGTGAGGGGTAAGGGAAAGGAAAGAAGGGAAAGGAAAAAATATGAGAAAAGAAAAAAATGGAAACAAAGTCTTTGTAAATAGGGAGAGGTGGAGGGGGTGAAGGGCGCACAGGTAATGGGGGAAAAATAAGAACCAAGATATATCCTGTAAAGGTACAAATTCCCAATGATAAATGTAATCACATTGTATTCCTAAAATGTACCAATAAGCCTAATGAATAAAAAAAAGCAATGATCAATGTTTGAGGAGGCAAATATGATTAACCTGACTTGAATATTACACAATGTATCTATATCTCAGAGTATCACTTATTAATTACCCCATAAATGTGTATTAATTTTTATGTTTTTATATATGCTTTAAAAATATTTAAAGTTTTAAAATAAGCTAGGGATAAATATATAACATTAATTTTAATTTCTTTATTATTTTGGAATAACCCTAAGCATTAGATTGCTATATGATCATCAAAGTAAATAAAGACAAATTCACAATTATTACTTTGTCTCATTTTGGTTTTGAGACACAGTTTTGCTAAGTTGCCCAAGCTGACTTAAAACTTGAGATCCTCATGCCTCAGCCTGACAAATTGGTGGGTTTACAGGCATGTGCCACCATACCCAGTCTCAAATTTATTTTCAATATGTTATGACAAAATACGGCCAGGATGGTTAATGCAAGAGTCTTACACATCAGTAAATTTCTACATGCCAATTTCTTTATCTAAAAAAATGAGAACCTTGTCATCAAGTGCCTCTGAGCCTATTATGAGGAAAGAACTTCAACAGATCTATGTAAATCTCTGGCATCATAAAATGATAAACAATAAATATCAAGCCATCATGCAGCTATGTCTACCATATGACACCGAGAAGATTTTTTTAAAAGCCTAAGTGTCTGAGCCAGGTTTTGATTTTCACAAAGGAGTTAGATATGTATACCTAGTAGAAGTGATGAAATTGCCATTCTCTTTCTTCCAACTGAAAAAGAAAGAAAAATGAAGTTCTTAATGAAGATAGGAATTATTTAAGACAGAAAAGATACAATAGCTAAGCCTATATAGTACTTTAAATTTGTAAAGTATTTACATGTATTATGATTTGTGATCTTCATGACAAATGGGTTGAGCAGAAAGCATCTTATCTTTCTTCTGAGAACAGTGAACCTCATAGTGGCTTTAATGGGGTTACTCAGCAAGTCTGAGATGGTAACAGTGTTTGAACTAAGATTTAACTTGTGAAGTATTCCCCTTTTCCATTAACTAAGCTAGTATGTCAAACTCATGGGAACAACATATACCTTAGAAGTCAGATGGTCTGAATCATTTTCTGGGTTGGACTAAACTCAGACCTAGTTGACTAAACCTCTGGACTTTCAATCTGATTTTTCATAATTTGAGCCATCTCCCAACGCAGTCAAGTTTCCATTTATCTTCTGGTTTTTTATTTATCATTTAATATACAAATGTCCTCTTTGGACTGTGAGGACACTGATGGAAGGGACAAGGGCCTTCTTCACCTTCTTTTTACCTATAATTGTACATAAGCTATAAACAGATAACTTTAAACGAATTGAATCAATTCATCAATTTGTACCAAAAAAGATTAAAAACTATTTTGTGATCTGTTTAGTGCTAGGGAGGTTAACATGACAGAGAGAATTGCAGACTGCCATCATGGAGTTTATGAAAGATAGAGGAAGATGGGCAGCTGCTAATAACTGTGACGGGATCTCAGAAAAGAGTTGCTTGCTATGGAAGCTAAAACACAGGGACCCAACCTAGTATGGGGGAACAGGAAGGGTCTGCTGGAAGCAAAGACATTTAATCTGCAATCTAAGGTAGGTACAGAGGGAGGCAGGTGAGAAAGGAAAAGCAATTTAGACAGAGATGAGCACATGTGATCATGAGAAAACACATCCCCGAAAGGCACAGCTTAAATCCTGCATCTTATTGAACCACCATGACTCAGGACCAAATCCAGTGATGATGAAGATTTTCAGGGACAGTGGCATTCTCACAAGTTAAAATTATTTCTTTGTGTAGATAAATCATGTGCTCATTCATCTTAAGATACAACTTTAGCAAATGTATTCAGGTTTTCTATAAAAGTAAGAAATAGGTGTGTGGTTTTCTGAGATCAAACTTTTAATTTCAGAGACAGAGATTCAATACTTGAATTGGTAACTAGCCTAGTTAAGAAAATGGATTGTTGTGAAGCCAGTCAGAAAATGTAATGATTTATTCAGTCACAGCTGGGGTTTTTTAATAACGACAAATTTTATAGTTAGTTATAATTATAATTCCAGTTATAAACTAAGGCCATTCAGTGGGATTGCCAAACAGTTGTTATATAAAATGTTAAGTGTGGTATCCTATGTTATAGAAAACACAAGAAATCATGTTGCTTTATGGCAAGCACCTTATATATGTGATTAAAATGATGTGTTCTCACAGACTTATAATAAATTTATAATAAAACTTGACTCACAACTATCCACATACATAAGCTGCCAGAAACACAAGCTTTTGTTTTCCAGTAGACAGACACTGGACAATCACTGAGTAATCCCAATAGGATACCCTTACATACTGAATTCACACTAAAACCCTAATCCCCAGGACCTCAAAATGTGACCGAACTGGGAAACAGAACCTTTCAAGAGGTAATTAAGATTAAACAAGGTCATATGGGTAGTCCCAGATCCAACATATCTAGTGTCCTTATACAAAGAGGAAGAAACACTAGTAGAAACTTGGCAGGGAAAAGGTCACGTGAGGACAGAAAGGAGGAGGCAATCTTGAACCAAGAAGAAAGTCCTGAGGAGAAACCAAACTTACCAACACGAAGATGTCAGAATTCTAGCCTCTAGCATGGAGAGCAAATTGATTTCTGTTATGTAAGCTACCAGCCTGTGGTATTTTCTTACTGTCAGTCTGTTTTGAACTGAATTGTGTTTCCCTAAAATGTATGTGTTAAAAGCCCACCCTCAGGCAGGGGATTTAGCTCAGTGATGCCACTGCCTGCCTCACAAGTACAAGGTCCCATGTTTGATCTCCAGTACCAAAAAAAAAAAAAAAAAGCCCACCTTCTAATAGGACTATATTTGCATTAGGGCCTTTATGGAGATAATTAAGATTAAATAAAGTCAGAAGAGTAAGCACCAAATCCAATACAACTGCTGTCATTATAAGAAAAGGAAAAGCCCGGCAGTGTGTGGGCAGGGGAAAGGCCACGTGAGGACACAGAGAGCCTGAAGAGAGGCCACATTGGTCACCAATTCTCTAGCACCTTGACCCTAGCCTTCCAGCTTCTAATCATGTAAGGAAATTAATTTTTGTTATTTAAGCCACCTAGTGTGTGGCATTTTGTTGTGGCAGCTCCAGAAAACTAATACAGATACATATCTCACAGCCATAAATACACATGTGCATGTGCACACATACCCCAGCTGACCGAGTGCAGTCAAGTTGTTCAGACTCCTATTCAAAAACGTTGAGAATTTTGCCATGGATTTGCAAATTAGAATTTCTTTTAGATTAAACATAAAAATGCATAATTTATATATATGCTGCCAGGTTGAATCTGGATGATAATTAGGAGAGAAGAATTGTTTTTATGAAACAGTCTCAATATATGGGAAGTATTAAATTTTTTTAAATGTTCTGGACATAGTCACAGGTTGATTGTTTCAGCTCTCAGAAAGAATGAAGATCCTGGTTTAACAAATCACCTAAAATTAATATTAAACTTGGACTCTACTGTTTCAAATTAAACTTTGCTGATGTAGCTGTTATATTCCTGTCCACTAAGATAATTTATTCCAAATGCTGTATTCAAACTCTCAACCTCAACAAGGAGCTTTAGTTGTAAGCTATGTAATCTATGTAATGATCGAGCAATCTTCATCTTTATCTCTATTCTTAGTTTTCCTTCTCCTTCCTTCTTCATCCAGGTGTTAAGGAGTTAAAAGTTAGCCACCCTTGATCGGCAAAATCACCATTCTTTTTCATTGCAGCTTTGTTCTTCTTAGCTCATCTCAAGCCTCACCTGCTTCTGAAAAACTTCTCCCCAGGACAGTCAGCAGGCACCAGGACCATCAGCCCCTCCCTCTCTCCCATGTCACCATGAGACACTGAATGCTTTGGGACTTTACCCAATTACACAGTGCCTGTTTGTCTTCCCACTGTGGAGAAGGCTGTACAAGTCTACAGGCAATGTTCCCCAAGGGGAGATTCCCGGGAATACAAAGAGAATAATCTGGCAACCACATTAAGGAGCATTTAACACCCCCAGAACTGTCCTCCAGATTCCCATATACAAAAACTAGAAGACTGAATATGTGAGAAGGCAGGAAGCCACACATACACCTGAAGCCACAAAGATAATCAGCGGGGAGGGGCACAAAACTTGAGTTCTTGATTTGTTAGAGCTCAGTATCATTTAACTGTTTTCAGCACTGAGCTCATGAAACATACCTCTTGACTCAACTTCCAAGGAATGATGCTTTGGGGCTGAAATTCAAATTCCCAAATTGTTTTTAAAAATTGGAAGGTTGGGCCGGGGATTTAGCTCAGTGGTTCCAGCGCCTGCCTCACAAGCACAAGATCCTGAGTTCAATCCTCGGTACCAAAAATAAAAATAAAAATTGGAAGGTTATTAAATTAGCTATTTAGTTCTTACATGTATGAGTCTCAGCTGAGGAGAAGTTTATCTCCAGATAACATTTTCTAATATTAGCAATATAAACAGTAACTGAAAACACATTCCAAGAATAATTCACTGAGCCATCTTCCTTTTCTTCCACCACTACCTCCCACACACCTTTGATTTAAATATAATTATTTACATTGAAAATAATAAAACACAAATGGCATGCTGGAAATTACAGCACCAGTCTCTTCCAATGTTTTGAAATGAAATGCATGATAAAAGCACATTTTGCTGTGATGAAAAATAAGAATAGGAAGAGATTAATTAGAAAGTACTAAACTCCAAATAGAAACAACCAGCACTGCGCAGTAGCCAAAGCCACCACGACAGGCCGGGTCAGGTGTACCTACCACCTTTTATCATGCCCACATCATAGCACTTGCGGAGCCGGCAGGCCTGGCAGCTCTTCCTCCTGTTTTTGTCAATCGTGCACTGGTTGGTAGCTGGACATATGTAGTCATTATGCCCTGGTAAAAGCAAGAGGACAGAATTGATATTATTTCAGGAAACTTCACTGAATTGACAGGGAAACAGCTGGAGGATGCTTTGCTGTCAGTAGAGCTCACTAAAGTGCAACCTCCATCTTCCCCCTCTTTGTCTGTTAATTGTAAACAAAAAACTTTGCTAGACTTAATTTCTACCTCCACCCATTGCTGTAGGAATCCTTTGGGCAAATCCCCTTCAGTTCACACAGTCTATGTTGGGAAGCAAACTGTGATTTTATTTATTAACTTTTTCTTAGCCACGCCACTCACTAAAATGGTCAGGGTAGAGCTATTTGAAATCAAACTTTCAGATAGAAAGTTTCAAAGTGGCCTTTCATAAAATATAAATTAACGAATCTTGAATTACTCAAATAATAAAGCCCAGAATACCTGAAAAGTCCAGGATGGTGAGCTGGGTGGTAGCAAGGTAAGTAGGTTAGTCTATCATTACTAACTGGCAATGTTGCCCATCCCTAGGTCTGCTAGTCCTCCTCTCTAACCTAGAGAAGGTAGTAGTGCACACACTACCTAAAATTACTCTATGACTTTAATGTGAGAATCTATGTCAAGGGTTTGCCAGAGTTCCCTGGATGGGGTTAGCCTTCAAAAGACATCAGTTGTTGTTATTATGTAACTACAAATCCACTTTCTTTTCTCTTTCGTTTGTTGACTGCTTCCCGTTCACATACTTCTTCCCCTACTGCTTTATTTGTGTGCAAGCGTGTTCCACCTCACTAACTGCCACCTCACATCCTGCCCTCCTTCCAGCTGAACTCAGAAACATGTATGCTGAGGGGTCCTTTGCTTCATCCCTCCTGCAAGGCTCAACCCCTGCCGATCTGTTTTCCGCCTCAGTTGCCCCAGAAAAAAAGCTTTGCTAGATCACTGACAGCCCCAGAGCCAAATTCAGGTAAGTCCAGGACATAGCACAGCTGACCTGTCAGAAGCACCACTGAACCCTCCCCACCTCTTGAAATGTGCTTGCCCTTGGCTGCCATCCCACAACCCACCCACCCCCATGTACCCTCTCTCTCAGCCTGTGGGTTCACTTCCCTCCATCCACTAAGCCAGAGCTGCTGCAGCTCAGGGCTAGGTCCACTTCTCCTCCTCCTACTCCACATTCTCCCCCAGGAGAACCTGGTCCTCGCCCATGGCTTCCAGTACCACCAACTGCACGTCACTCATAAGTTGTCACTCCCAGCCCAATCTTCCTTTCTGAGGTCCAGGTGTGTACATTCAATTCCCCACAGGGAGTCTCCACTCTTAAGACTTAGAAATCACCTCTATTTCTTTATCCATCCAGAGAAGTCTGGTTTGTAGCACGCGAAACATTGAACTTCACAGATTAATAGTTATTGACATGTTTTTAGGTAAGTCTAAATTGTTACATGCCTTAGGGAAATGTCCTGAATTTAGACTAAGAAAATGATGTGTACTATTCTAAACATGTTTCCCATTCTCAAAAACTGAATATATATTTCACCCTCTAGTTCAGAATATAGATTCTCTACCTAGGTCTCTATCATCCCATTTTATAGGGGCGGGACGTGGCATGTCGTGAAATGTTTTAACACAGAGCTTCTTCATTCAATTTAAGGGTCAGTTCCCACTTGAATAGGGTGGGATGGGGACTTGACAATAAATGCTGGCCTCGTAAAACCTGGTCCTCTATCTTTAGATATACATTATAAAAATCATTGTATAAACAGGCTTCAGATCAAATTAACATCTGTATTCTTTAGTTACATAATAGAAACCAGACAGACAGACAGAAGTTATGAACTCAAAATTTTGGCAAGAGACCACACACTGCCTTAAATATCCATGCATGGTTATTATTTTAAAATTGACCTCATCAATCAGGACAATCTGAGGAAGTAATAGAACTAGAAACAAAATTTATATGGACAGATGCTAATTCTAATCAAAAGAGGGATATCTGGTACCTTAAAGAAACTTTCAGTGTTTGGTCTCCTATGGTGTTTATACAGAATACACTGACATTTTTAGCTAAAGGAAAGTGAGTATACTTTAAGTTTCAGAGGAAAACAGTTGATAAACACTCAAACCAAATATTACTTTGACTCACTTCTCCCCCAAAGCCAAGTGTATTGCAAGCCAGAAGAAGATAGGAGAACCAAACTGGGTGGGAGGCCAATTGGCTGGATCTTCTACTTGGACGGGCTATCCACACAGATGGGTATCTTTATAGAGCCACGTGAAATGCTTGAACTAACATGCCGAACACAAAAAATGTTCTTGATCTGTGCAACGGAGTCTGTCCCTCTACCGGAATGAAAACAGAGGCACAACAGGAGTGTGCTCACACTCAAAACCTAGTGTGACAGTGCTGTGTTTTCTCCTGCCCGAAATACCTTAAAATGTTGAATTGAGAAATTGGCAAGAATCAAAACTGAATAAGTACATATTTGATATCTACAGTTAAAATTGCTCTTAGCTAGGCGTGGTGGGGCACGTCTGTAATTCCAGCACTCGGGGAAGCTAAGGCAGGAAGATGGCAATTTTGAGCCCAGCCTGGGCAACTTGGTATCTCACCAGAACCGGATCTCAAAATCAACAATTTAAAAAGTGGCAGGGATGTAGCCCAGTGTGAAGGCCCTGGGTTCAGTCTCCAGGACCCCCAAAACAAATTGTTCTTCACCTAACACCATTAACACCTATTTATGTCTCCAATTTATATCAGAAGGACAACAACAAAGCAGTTCTTTCATTTAATGAATACAACTCAGTCATATTGGTAAATTATTTCTGTTGCTTTAAGAAGAAAGCCCTTTTTTAATTTTCTTATTTGATCTTGTGAAAACAATAAATAAAAAATACTACAGAAGTAGAGTCATTTTTTTAAACAGTCAACAATTGCATTAGTGAGATACATAGTGTTTCAGTGAAGACACAGAAGATTTTGTCTAGCCAAGAGCACCCTATTCACAGGCCTGAAAGAAGCACTAAAAGCCAAAGCAAAGATGTGATGTCCACTTCGAAAAATAGTCTTAACTCACCCACCACAAAATAAAATGAGGTGGAAGGTGAGGCTCTGTGGTAGTGTTTGCCTGGTGCTGGGTTCAATCCCAAGCACTGCTAAATAAAAAGAATGCAGAGTCTCTGAGGGAGTGTGTGGTGTGAACAATAGGAAATGGAGGACACAGGAAGCATGGGTGACAATCAGAAGGACCAAAGAGTGGGGACAGAAGACACCTGTGGGCAGGAGCCGCCCAGCCAACCCTGGCCCCTGAGGATACACACAAAACTTTTCCTTTAGTGCCTCTGGGATTCCTTTGTCTTGACTTTTTCTTCTTCCTTTCTCTTATTTTCCCTCTTCCAGTAGCAGCTGTAATCATCACTCAAAAAGTCCACATTTGTTAATCATGAAAATAAACAATGACCCATATTCAGAGATTCCAAAGGCGTATAAACACAGGCCAAATTAAAACAAGCAGGGATACTGAAAGAAACCGAACACCGTGGCTCTTTCCTTTTGTCACCTCTTCTCTTAGTACTTGTGGGCAGTCATCTCAGTTCAAATCTCATTCCTGAACTTCAGACCTGACTTTCCATCCAGACTTGAGTCGCAGACCTTTTGGGACCCATGTCACTCAGCAGACTGACCATCTCCTCCCCTCAGCAACCTGTCCCTTCTCACTACCCCACCATGAATCTGGACACATGGTGTCATTCGCAGTCTCCTCTCTTCTTCAATGGACCCTTCCTCCACAACCCGCCACACACACACACACACACACACACATACGCACACACATCAAATCTGCTACTGCCTAATTAAACCAATTTTGTTCTGGCCCCACTATCTCTCCCAGAATCCATGCTGTCTCCCACCCAACTCATCACCACAGCCCACTGCATGACCCCTGCCTCCTGCTTTCCCCTGCCAACCGCTCTCCACGGTGCTGCCAGAGTGATTGCTCCCTAATCACACGCCACCCTGTCCCTATCCTGACTTAATATTCTAAGGCACCTCAAAGCCCTAAGGATAAAGTCTAAATGCATCAACACAGCTTGCAAAGTTCTTCCTAACCTCTTTCCATACTTCTCTCCACACTCTCTAATTTAGATCCAAGTTCCAGCTGCATCTTCTGTCCAGGTTTCCTCTCACTCCCAGGACTCTGCACGAGCTCCTCTTTCTCATGGATTCAACCTTCCCTACTCTGGGCCTAATGGGCTCCTATTCATCTTCAAGTGTTCCTTTCAAGGTATCCATGCCTCTGTGAAATCTTCTCTGTCCCACCACACCTAGCTTCCACCCTATTGCAGCACTTACCATGATGTATTTTAATTACTTGTCTCAATCCCAGATGGCTTTAGACTTGGCAAGGGCTGGGCGATACCTGCTTTATCTATCACCACTGATCCTGAGCTCAGCACACTTGCAGGTACAAAGTGGACCTCAGAGAGCAAAACTGTGAGCTGAACCAAAGGTGCTAAAACTCTGTGTCTCAACCTCCCCCCAAATGTCTGTAGGACACAGGCCTCCCAAAGAGCAGACTGGGATCCACAGAGGAAACAATGGCTGAATGAAGTGATAGCTGCTATACCGCAAGACTTCAAAACTCAGGTCAATGAGAACAAGACTTGGTCCTCAGCATGGCACAGGGAGAGGGAAAACAACTGGGGAATGGAGGAGACTGCTGTGTAGCATGGAGTGAGGCCAGACATGAGCATAAAGGCACATCTCTTCACCAAGGAAAAGGTTGTGTTACTGTGAATTCTCTGCACCATGGCTTCTATTTTGATGCCCCGCTGATATCCTAATATGAGTGCATTCTATGACTGCTAAAAAAAAAAATTCTAATTTTCCTAAAGCTTTTCCTTACAGAAATGCATTCTGAATTGAAATGTTGTTTCTGCTGTGGTTTGGAAATGATCCCCTTGTGTTTAAAGGCTCTGACCCCAGCATGTGGTGCTATTGAGAGGTGGTGGAAAGTTTAGAAGGCAGGGTCTACAGG